ACCTATACTCCAATCTACCCTTTTATATCAGAGTCATTACCTTACCAGAGGAACCAAACCTTACCAGTGTGTATTCAGAATACCAGAGTACCACATAGTACCACGATACCAGAGTACCACATAGTACCACGATACCAGAGTCCACGCTACCAAATAAGAGTCACCAGATATAACTTTTAATTTTTATATACTCGTTCATTCTAATATAACACATTCTTATAGCAACGCACTAAGGGATAAATATTTATAGTTTACACTAAGGCCCGACCGCGCGGTTTTCGTTACAATAATACCCTGAGATGACGATGATGATCCTATAAAGAGTGCACATGGTTTTTATTCAAATATTTGACCAACATACAAAATAAAATATATTTTCCTTACTATAGATAGAAATGTGAAAGATTTCAAATACTCAGGGCAAAATAATCACCGATGAAATAATATGGCAATGCTAATACAACCGCATACTATATATCATTCACTTATCATAAGTGTGTCCACTTAAACTGACCTAACCACAACCTTTATCCTGTAAACTATTCAAAAATTCCAAAGTCAATGAACCATGACTGACGAGGTGGACCATATAATAATCTCAATGGATAGACATGTTATGTGCTTGTACTGATACAAAGCATACCAAATCGCATTGGTTACAGATACGTAAATGGGCACGAGGAACTGCACATGAACTTCTAAAAATTATATATATATATAACTTTTATACTTTCTTAAATATAACAAATAAAAAATATCCTCAAAACAGTAGTAAAAATGTATGGAATACACGAAGATATTGAAAAAGGTTCATCAATTCTAACTTAATATTCTCATTGACATTTCAGCGATCAAAAAAGCGCCGAAAAGGCAAAAAATATCGTGACGTCGTGACTAGAAATCTTATTTTTGTCAACGTTTTTAGATATTACAGTGACACTTGAATGATTTATACAACAAAAACGAATTCGGTGACCCCTTATAACTTTCATATCAATAAAACGGAAATTCGAAGATATGTTTTAAGCAAAGGTAGTTAAAGTCAAATGTTTAAATATCTGTTTCGATATTTACGTGCCTCCTATATATTTGAATTTTCTACAGGGTATTCAATTTACTATATATCCGAAAGTATAAAAGTTACGTATATCTTTTCTTAAATTGACCTTATCACAAACTTTAACAAATTGTTGACGCCACATATGCGCCGCCGAAAACAGCACGCCTAAGTCTCGCCTTCGTCGGGGTAAGACAGCATTTTAATGTTCAGTAAATATCTCACAAGTTCTGAAGTAAAATCAAAATTCATCTAAGATACCAGGCTTATAAATAAGATAGCCAGACGACACGCATTTCGTCTATGCAAGACTTATGCATGGCGCTCGAATCAAATCAGTTGGAAGGCAAAATCATTACGCAGTCACAGAACATTAAAAGCTAAAAGATAAAAACACAACTGGAGTCAAGTAAGGTGCTAGGACAGGGTAAACATCTCAAGTTTTATTTGTGTCATCTGTTCCACGATTCCTCGATCACATCTAGTAGAGTGTGTCAAATCCAGGATCACGAAACCCCGTTTATATAATGTTAAATTGGCATAGTCTGAATATGCGATCTATTAATAAGATAACAGAAAATAGTAATGGTAAAAAGAGAACAAGCAGCAAATTATGATAATAACGAAACGGTCCGCAATTGTGTTAATATAGATGGTACAGGAAAAACTAGCAACATAAAGGGTACAGACAATCACTTTTACATCGGTTTACTGCAGGCATACAATGAGAGAAAACTAGACAAGGAGAAGTACATATAGAAGCTTCGTACATTACAGACATAATAAAAAATAAGGTAGATCACAGACTAAAAAATTTTATAATGCACAGAACTGAAATGTAACAGTGAAAATTAGAAGTTAGTATATACGATATGTCCATGTACTACAGATTATAACAACAGGCACACCTGTGCCTGTATATCTCATCTGGTGAAAACAAGTCGTCAGTTTGCTGCTTAGACTTTTATATTCACAAACTATAGTTACTCTTTGTGTTTCTGTTAATGTTTGATTCCAAAATTTCAAAAACAGTAAAAATCAACATTCCAGGGGCGATAACACAAAAAAGAGTTGTAAAATTTTAAGGCAGATAAAAATGTTGATAATTTTTGCGGTAAATTCTTTTAACCTTACTCCTAAAGTTTTCAAAATTAACAGCCAAAAAATTGCAAAAAACGAAAATATGTCTTTTACAAGGGCAATTTCTCAAAAACAGGTTTTGTTCTGAAATTTGCAATTTAAGAGATCGATCTTGTCGTGCTGATCATTTTGAGGATTAATACTTTTCACAATGAAAGGGGGAAAACGGCAATAAATGATATTCAGGTAAAACAACTCTAAAACAGGTGGAAGATTTTCGACCAATTTTCAGGATAGATACATCTTGTTGTGCTGATCCTTTCTGTAATTTACACTTTTTGATTAGCTCTATAGATTCCACGATAACAGTCGACATTTTACGGACAATAACTCCAAACAAATTGTTAGATTTTTATCATTTTTTTTCAGGATAGATACATATTGTCATGCTGATCAATTGAGCACTTTACAATTTCAACAAAACTCCTATATATAGTTTTAAACAATGGCAAGGAAATGCAAAATAGTTTAATATCAACATTTCAGCAGAAATAACTCCAAATCTAGTGGGTAGATTTTCCAAAATTTTCAGTGTAGAAAGAACTTGTTATGCTGACCATTTTTATCTGCGTCAGTTTTTCTTTAATTGCTGAGTTTTAGAAATCTTATCCAAAGACTTTACTTTGACTCCTATGTTCTAATTTTAGACACGGTGGGCGTGTTGGTTGATCAATCATGACGAACACTGTTTAATTGATACCCTATAGGATGAATCAGACAAACGTTGGTTCCAATTCATTGAGCGGCTTCAGAGGTGATTTTTAAAGAAAAAATTCGGGACGACGGACTCAAAGTGATTGTAAAGGCTCACAAGGTGAGCTAAAAAGGGCAATACGGACAATAAATTATAGACGAGCTGATTATATACAGAACAATGCAGCACCATTTTAGTACATAAATCCCAGACAGGAATAACTAAAATAATAAAAATTCTTATAAAAAAACTTGCAAATAATATTAAAGACAGATTATACTCCCATTATAAGATAAAACATGTCATATTTGTAATATACTGGAAATACTTACCCTTTTTACCAAGCCTGTAAGGTCATATACATCAAAATAATGAACAGGATTAGGGAACATATTACCAATCAATGCTACTCGTAACTTACTATGAGTTTGAGTTTACCAGATGAAAAACTCGAAATAGACGATTATAATCTTTTATTGATTTTCTATTGCCATCGATCTACCGCTAACTTCATTGTTTGCTGATTTGTTATATAAATATTTACAGTGCACAATTTTTGACAAAGCGAACAATTGCACAAATTTCAACAGCAAAAAAATCAATTTGTAAATATGTTATGATACTCGAAACCGACATTTATGATTGAATTGATAAGTGAATTTCTGAGATAATCGTTGCTGTTCTGGTCGAGGACAGGTTACCGTCTGCTACCAGTTACCGTCCCCTGGCATTTTATGTTATAAAGGACGTGTTTCGTAAATACGGCATACTGTTATTACAAGCACAATATGTTTCAATTAATTCTTAAAACTTTGTTTTTTTTAACCGATTTAGACAAGAAAAAGTCAGATTTTACTTTTTTAAAACGTGGGAAGATAAGTGTGCAGGGGCATGACGTTATCCTTCCATGACGTCCTCGATATTAGAAAGCCTACCGTTTTTAGACGAATATCAAAGCTTGCTTTGAGCAAAATATTCTTTCTTAAAAAGGTTTATCAATTTGAAAAATGAAATTCTTTGGTCCTTTTGCATACAGTGTAACTTTTTGATTTCAGGTGACTTAAATCCATGTTCAATTCAGATTTATCGAAAGGAAGAAGAGCTTCAGAATTTTTGACGGAAGGACAATATGTTGGTTAATTTGTCATTCCCCCTTCTCTTCTTTCCACGTTATATCGAAATATGAAATTAATGTTAAGATTAAGCGAAAATTTCTATTACTAAGTGGCTATTTCCTGAAGTGACGGTAACTGACCTCGTACTCACGCAAAATCACTACTACAGTACCCTGCTCTACATTAGTTATACGAGGATGTAACATCCGAGCCTATGGTGCTGAAACTAAAAGGTTTAACTCACCATTTTCTTCGGTAAATACCTGTACTAATTCAGGAATATCAGTTAAGATGTACATCCTTTTTCAAAAGACGGAAAATTCTTGGGTTACTCGGTATTTCCTTATCTTTATTTAAAAATTTATGTATATACGACAATTATAAATAAACATCTAGTAAGATGTGTGAAATCCAGAAACATGAAAAAACCCGTAATATTATATTTAACTGGCTATGTCAACATGTGGGATCTTTAAAAAAGTTAATGCAAAACAATACTGATATAAGAATAACAAGCAGCAATTCGTGATAATAACGAAGAGGTAAGCAATAGCTTTAATACAGAAAGGGCGCAGAAAAAAACTAGCAAGAAAAATAGTACACACAAGCGCTTATAAACTGTAAGATTGCAGGCATACAATGAGAGAATACTAAATGGCGAAAGGACGCACATTAAGATATGAAAAAAACAAAGTAGATTACAGACTGAAAATAATTCTAATGTACAGAACTGGCATGTGGTAATGAAAATTAGAAGGACACACAAGATGTTCATGCACTGCAAATGACAATAAGAATAAAGACAATATATGATAGACAAGCTAATATAAAGAATAACGAAGCAACATTACATTCGTAAATCACAAACAGGCATAACTTACATGATCATACACAAATATATTTATCTTAAACTTGCAATAAATATTTGAAACAGGTAAAACTGGCGATAAAGGGGTATAACGAGGCATATTTGCATTAAAGGAGTAAAACTTACTCTTTTACTCAGAAGTCCAGCCTTGTCATATACGTCTACATAATGATCATGGTCAGGAAACAGATTACCAATCCATGCTACCTCATCTTTTGTTTCACTGATGTGAGTCTGAATGGAAACATCAAAATAAAAGCAACAGTAGTTAAACAATGTTCAAATCTCAGAATCTATTAAGAAGAAACAAATCAAGGAAATTTATTTTAATTGAAGGAATGGCATGAACTCCAAAAGTAGAAAGATCAGGTGCGTAGACAGGATCAATGTCTCCTGCTATTCATACATCAACGGCCATGCGAATCACATTCAGTCAAAATGTCACAACCAGGAATAGGACACAATCGGTAGAGATCAGACGACTATTCTGTTATCTGTAGGTCTAATAACAGATCAGACGACTATTCTGGTATCTGTAGGTCTAATAACAGATCAGACGACTATTCTGGTATCTGTAGGTCTAATAACAGATCAGACGACTTTTCTGGTATCTGTAGGTCTAATAACAGATCAGACGACTATTCTGGTATCTGTAGGTCTAATAACAAATCAGACGACAATTCTGGTATCTGTCGGTCTAATAACAGATCAGACGACTATTCTGGTATCTGTAGGTCTAATAACAGATCAGACGACTATTCTGGTATCTGTAGGTCTACGTAAACATATTGCTAGTGAGTTGAGAAAGACATATCGTATTTAGGGTTAATGTTTGAATTTCCTCCTATGTTCATAACATTGTCATCGGGCAATGTTCAAGCTTAACATACGTCTTAGTTAATTGTATCAGATTTATTTTCTCTCGTTGAAGTTTAACATTACATCTATTTTTATTCTTAGATAAAAATTTTGAGGTTTACTATCCCTTTGGTATCTTTCGCCTTTCTTTTTAATAAGTTTACTAATACCTGAATTCCTTTCTGAGAATACCTAATGGTTACAAACTAAAGGTAAATCCATCTAACTTAATACCGGAGATCCATTCCTTCATTTGTTATACTTTTCGTGGACTGATTGATCAAACATTTAATTAGTTCATATTTTAACAGCAAACGTATATGTTGATAAATTGGTTATTTAAATATCTGGAAATAATTACAGATTATCGTTGGTCATCTCAGCGAGATTGATTTTCTCGCTTGAGCCGGTACGGCGAAAGTGAGAAAAGCAATCGAGCTGAGATGACCAATGATAATCTGTTTATTGCTTTTTTACCTATGACGACGTTGGTAATTTCATTGACAACGGCACGTGTTCCCTTAGTTTCTAGCGATAATTTTCATATCACTCGACTCCGTTTTCATATCACTCGACTCCGCTGAGAACGGAAATTATCAGTCAGCAAGATCAAAGGAGACAAATTCGTAAAATAGCGATAATTTTTCATATCACTCTACTGTGCTGAGAAAGGAAATTATCAGTCAGTAAGATCAAAGGAAAATTTCGTAAAATAGCGATAATAAGAAGTAAATATGTAAAACACAACTGTTTAATTATACCTGAATATGAAGTCCTTTATCATGTGCCAACTTTGCAAGGGAATTCATCAATTTGTCATCGCAAGATGCTGCAAAACGTGGTGTAATAATTGGTTGTATTCTTTGATTCTGCAAAATAATATAGTCTGCATAACAAAGTTCGTAAACTAATTTTCACTCAAAAATGACATAGATAGTAACTGGTAAGATTCTGAACATATTATATTGGGTTATCTCCTGAAGCTAACAAAAACAATACGACGGTGTGTGTTAAACATGCGAAGTTCCTTGTAAGCTGCACCCCAATCATAGCTGCAACCGATATCAAAGCAGTACCTCGTATCATATCAGAATGTCCAAACTGTTTTTATAAAGATATGATGTTTTCTTTATATTCAAACTGTTAACACAATCTGTAGGTCTGGTCCTGATAGCAAACTAACAGCAGTCACTGTCTGAGTTTCCACGACTTATCAGCCAGATCTGTAAGATCTTTATACATGAATATGGAGAATCAATAAAAGCTGTCACAAGGAATATCGTCAAGATAATTTTGATGCAAGATGTTGTGATACTGTAGTAAAAAGGAAGATAATATGTAAATTATTAGTATGTTCGTAGTTTTTATATATATTTTTCTACAGTTAAAACTAATTAGAGTTTGTAAGTTTAGGAGCATTTTTGGCAGTTGAAATGCCTAATGTAATTTTCAGAAAATGTATATTACACTATTTTTAAAGACTTAAAAGATTAAAAAATCAAAATATAATACGGAAATATTTTTTATTTTTATTTCTATGAGGGCGAAACCATGTGCAGTTCAACCACTTTTGCAAAAAAGAATAATAATATTTTTTTCTATATTATTTTCTCATAGAGCTAACAAGTTCTTTGAAAGAAGTTAACCGTTCCATTTACAAACGAACGGAAATGTAAATAAGAAGTTATAAAAACATCAATTTATATTTTATACTTTTCTAAGATTTGGATTTTAAAATATTTTGGCTTCAAATATCATTGAAGAAACATCAATTGTCAGAAGCGCGTCTAGTGCAGTTACATGTTAATGTTTCATCTGTCGTCCCAACTGTCCCGTCCTTCTGTCCTTGATTATGTTTCATTTGCCGTCCCCACTGTCCCGTCCTTCTGGCGTTGTTTATGTTCAAATTGTCGTACCCACTGTCCCGTCCTTTTGACGTTGTTTATGTTTCCTTTGTCGTCGTCCCCACTGTCCCGTCCTTCTGTCATTGTTTATGTTTCATTTGTCGTCCCCACTGTCCCGTCCTTCTGTTATTGTTTATGTTTTCTTTGTCGTCCCCACTGTCCCGTCCTTCTGTCCTTGTTTATGTTTCCTTTGTCATCCCTACTGTCCCGTCCATCAGTCATTGTTTATGTTTCGTTTGTCGTCCCCACTGTCCCATCTTTCTTTCCTTGTTTATGTTTCATTTGTCGTCCCCACTGTCCCGTCTGTCTGTTCTTGTTTATGTTTTCTTTGTCGTCCCCACTGTGCCGTCCTTCTATCCTTGTTTATGTTTCCTTTGTCGTCCCCACTGTCGCGTCCTTCTGTCATTGTTTATGTTTCCTTTGTCGTCCCCACTGTCCCGTCATTCAGTCATTATTAAAGATTCCTTTGTCGTCACCAATGTAACGTCCTTCTGTCATCGTTTATGTTTCATTTGTCGTCCCCACTGTCCCGTCCTTCTGTCCTTGTTTATGTTTTCTTTGTCGTTCCCACTATCCCTTCTTCTGTCCTTGTTTATGTTTCCTTTGTCGTCCCCACTGTCCCGTCCTTCTGGCGTTGTTTATGTTTCATTTGTCGTCCCCCCTGTCCCGTCCTTCTGTCATTGTTTATGACATCATGTAATGCAATTTGTCATCAGATTTTTTGTTGTCATTAACATCACAAAGTTGCTTCATGTGGAGCAGATACTTGTTGCTTAATCTTTATTTTTCTATGTAGTATTTTGTTGACCGAATGGTTTTCCCCCGTTGTTCTTGATTTGTTTTTTTTTATATCAAATTACATTTATCCAGAACACCATGTACATTTGAAACCGATTTAAACGCTAGTAATAAAAAAAATATTATGATTCTTCTTAGATTCACCTAATTTTATTTCCTTTCTAAATTTAATTTTCGTAAATATACATACCCTCAAAATATTTACAATTAAACAAAAATTGCACTCCTTAAATTGTGGATGAGTCAAACGGAATGGCCTTTCAATCAGAAACGTCACTTTCGAAAATCAGTTAAATAGGTACCGTTAGTATTATTAAACTTACGAAGTTACTTCCCTGTAATATCAATTTAACTGCACCAGACGCGCTTTCGACAATTGATGTTTAACTGCACCAGACGCGCTTCCGACAGTTGATGTTTAACTGCACCAGACGCGCTTCCGACAATTGATGTTTAACTGCACCAGACGCACTTCCGACAATTGATGTTTAACTGCACCAGACGCGCTTCCGACAATTGATGTTTAACTGCACCAGACGCGCTTCCGACAATTGATGTTTAACTGCACCAGACGCACTTCCGACAATTGATGTTTAACTGCACCAAACGCGCTTCCGACAATTGATGTTTAACTGCACCAGACGCTCTTCCGACAATTGATGTTTAACTGCACCAGACGCACTTCCGACAATTGATGTTTAACTGCACTAGACGCACTTCCGACAATTGATTATTAACTGCACCAGACGCGCTTCCGACAATTGATGTTTAACTGCACCAGACGCGCTTCCGACAATTGATGTTTAACTACACCAGACGCACTTCCGACAATTGATGGTTAACTGCACCAAACGCGCTTCCGACAATTGATGTTTAACTGCACCAGACGCTCTTCCGACAATTGATGTTTAACTGCACCAGACGCACTTCCGACAATTGACGTTTAACTGCACTAGACGCACTTCCGACAATTGATTATTAACTGCACCAGACGCGCTTCCGACAATTGATGTTTAACTGCACCAGACGCGCTTCCGACAATTGATGTTTAACTGCACCAGACGCGCTTCCGACAATTGATGTTTCTTCAATGATATTTGTGATATTCTTATAATATTAGTACGGTTTATTAATGTTGTTTATATTGAATTGGTTGCTTTTTTATAAAAAGGTAAAAACTCATCAAAGAAACAAGAGCTTATAATTTTGTTCACCAGATGCGCGTTTCGTCTACATAAAACTCATCAGTGGCGCTCGAATTAAAACAGTTGGGTGGTTAAATCAAATACGAAGTTGTAAAACTTGTAATGATACAAATAATACCTGTTCCATCAACCCTGATGAAAGGTATTCCAGAAACACATAGTTGTTTTCCCTTCAAAAGTACGAATCATCTGAAATAGTAATTACCTTACGCTCCAACACTGAATCAACAAATCTGAAACAAAAGAAGTAGTATAAATGTAAATATGTTTCTATAGTTTTTTAATTACTAAGAAACATTGTAATGAGTATTCATTTCCCGCCTTTTTCTCTAACGGAAAAACATAAATTTCTTCACCTATCGCCAAAAAAAAAAATAGATTTCTTAAATTTTGTTTACTTACTTTAATCCGATTGATCAACATTCTTTAAAATGATGCCTATTTTAGGAGTTGCGGTTAAGAGAAATATTGCAATACTGAAGTAAGAAAATTCGATTATCTCCACTTAAATAGCATGTTGGACCAGGATTACATTCCGTTACGCACATCCACAGATAATGCTCTACAGCTGTTTGCCTTTACACGACTAGCCGTTTAGAGATGCGCTTACAAGGCACATGGACAGACAGTCCTACCTTTCTCAATGTCCATTATTATGTATGTCCTACATTTCATGCATATGGTGTCCATTAAAATTTATGTTCTACTTTCCTCATGTCCATTATCATTTAAGTCAAACGCATAAAATTAAATGTTTTAATTTAATTTTCCAGTTGTATCTTTGTCTTACCTCTCAGTCTCGGATGTTGATTCTTCGGCTGTTTCTATGTAATACTCAGGACTATTTTGATTCATGTTGACTTTTCCAACAAAAGCACGCTGACCATATTTGTCTGGAGAAAGACAACACATGCAATCTATGATAATACACTTGAAAAGGGGGGAGAAAATCGCACACACTGTCTCAAAGATTAGTGATAGCAAAACTGTGGGGTTTTTTTTCTTTACGTTTCGTTGGGGAAAAGGGGAAAATACTTAATTTTGACCAATAAAATTCAGTAAAAACTACTGATTCATATACCATCCTTTTCTAATGCTTGTCCAAAAAAAGAGAAGATTATTGAAGGGCGTTCAACTTTTCTCGCCTCACAACTCCTAGGCATCCTCGTCAGTCATTATGACTATATCAATATTAGAAATGAAAGAAAAGCATATCTGAAGATCTATGTAACAATTACTACTGAACAGATCATCTTGCTAGCCAAGGGTTACGATCCACTTCCCTCCTCTCCACCCTTGGCGGATTGGGATAGAATTTCGGAGACACAAGGTAATGATTTTCATTGGTTGCAGTCGAAACTCGCTGCATCCAATCAAAAAGCGCCTATAACATGATCACGTGTAAATGTAGAAAGTGTATGTAAACAATTGCCACGTGCTTATTGTGCAACAAGTCTTTACATCCCTAAACATACGACTATATTTAGTGACAATTTGAATGTTTTTTAATCAACTAATAGAAGTTCCTGTGTATGTTTCTTGCAAAAATGCATAAATGTCAACGTATATTTTCGTTTCCTGCTTTACCAAGTGTGTAGAATCTAGACGCTACCGTGTTTTACCTCCAAATTGAAGAGTTCAAGTGCTACCATTGGTCAAGAATAATGTATTCGGAATGGGCGTGACTTTAAACTTCCGATAGATGGCGCAACATTGTTATCACAAATGTTGGCTTAATCTGCCAAGGGTGGAGAGGAGGGAAGTGGATCGTAACCCTTGGCTAGCGAAGATGTGAACAGATATACAAATAAGGAAATGTTGTATGATAACTATTCAAACAACTATCCATAGACCCCCAAGAACAAAGATGTGAACAATTACAGGTCATAGTTCGGCCGTCAACAATGAGCAAACTCATACCGTATTGGTTTCATGTCGTTCTGGTCCCAAGTCGATCCGGCCAATATCTTAAGTCGATTCGGTCCCTATATAAAAACACTTACAAGGAATAATAGAGATGTATGTATATGACTTGCAGTAAATAAAGGTTAATGAATGATATGAATAATAGCAAATGTGGACATATCAAAATATATTATTTTCATAAGATGATATAATTAATCGATTATTTAAATATTAATATTTAGATTTTGTTATGAAACATCGAAAATTGATATTTTTTATGTAAAATATTCATATTAAAATAACTTTATTACCTTTAGTGATAAGGGATGTTTATATTCAAAGTTATCAAGAATATTGAGTATGCATAATTATAATAAAAAACACGGAAGTTAGTACAATCATTAATTAGTCAACATTAATCAGCAACTTTTCGTAAGACTTTAATCTTAATAATCTTTTCAAATCGACTTTGGGCCGGTTTTGTTTTAGAGCCGGAACGACCTGATACCACCATATAGTAATCTATAACGGGCCCCGGTATGCCGAAAGGTGAACAACATATTGGCCTGGACGTGCCCATGGTATCTACTTGAACGCTCAACGCTCCTCTTAACGTTTGACTGGGGTGATCAAACTGTAAAGTTCGGTTGGATATGAACGAAAAAATGCGGAGTTGCCCGTATGTATACGAACGAAAGACCATGTATACTAGCTTATGATCTTATAGTTCTGATGAAGCAAAACATCAATGGACACTGGTCATGTTTATATGAAGTGTCTTTCTAACCGAATGACAACATTTAACGGTATGAATGGAGGAAATATAATACATATAGCACATAATACTGCTTTCTGTGTTAATTGGTTGGTTGGTTTTGTTACTGCAATTTTCAGCACTTTTGGCTTTATCATGGCGATCGATTTTTATTGGTGGAAGAAGACATAGTACTCGGACAGAACCACGGAATTTGACTTTCTGTATGAATGCAATAATTCATTTTACAAAGTGTAGAAATATTAATAACGTATGCATGTGTTGTAATGCATCTATGCCGTCACTGAATATTTTCAAGAAACATCCATGTTAATGCTATTATATATCCCTTAAATATGTATTGTACCATAGAAACAATAGATAACCTATGATACAACATGAATTTATAAAGGCGCTGTTATGCATTGAACTATAATAACAGATACAACACGACTCCACAAAGGCGCTGTTATGCATTGAACTATAGTAACAGATACAACACGACTCCACAAAGGCGCCATTATGCATTTAACTATAGTAACATATACAACATGACTCCACAAAGGCGCTGTTATGCATTGAACTATAGTAACAGATACAACATGACTCCACAAAGGCGCTATTATGCATTGAACTATAGTAACAGATACAACATGACTCCATAAAGGCGTAGTTATGCATTGAACTAAAGTAACATATACGACATGACTCCACACAGGCGCTTTTATGGATTGAACTAAAGTAACATATACAAAAGGACTCCACAAAGGCGTAGTTATGCATTGACCTATAGTAACAGATACACCATGACTCAACAAAGGCGCTTTCATGCATTGAACTATAGTAACAGATACAACATGACTCCACAAAGGCGCTATTATGCATTGAACTATAGTAACAGATACAACATGACTCCACAAAGGCGCCATTATGCATTGACCTATAGTAACAGATACAATATGACTCCACAAAGTCGCAATTATGCATTGAACTATAGTAACATATACAACATGACTCCACAAAGGCGCTATTATGCATTGAACTATAGTAACAGATACAATATGACTCCACAAAGTCGCTATTATGCATTGAACTATAGTAACAGATACAACATGACTCCACAAAGGCACTATTATGCATTGAACTATAGTAACAGATACAATATGACTCCACAAAGTCGCTATTATGCATTGAACTATAGTAACATATACAACATGACTCCACAAAGGCGCTATTATGCATTGAACTATAGTAACATATACAACATGACTCAACAAAGTCGTTGTCATGCATTGAACTGAAGTAACAGGTACAATATGACTTCACAAAGGCGCTATCATGCATTGAACTATAGTAACAGATACAACATCACTTCACAAAGGCGCTGTTATGCATTGAACTAAGTTACATATACAACATGACTTTACAAAGGCGCTATTATGCATTGAGCTGTAGTAACAGATACAAAATGACTCCACAAAGGCGCTATTATGCATTGAACTAAGTTACATATACAACATGACTTCACAAAGGCGCTATTAAGCATTGAACTATAGTAACAGATACAAAATGACCCCACGAAGGCGCTATTATGCATTGAACTATAGTAACAGATACAAAATGACTCCACAAAGGCGCCATTATGCATTGAACTATAGTAACATATATAACATGACTTCACAAATGCGCTATTATGCATTGAACTAAGTTACATATACAACATGACTTCGCAAAGGCGCTATTATGCATTGAACTAAGTTACATATACAACATGACTTCACAAAGGCGCTATTATGCATTGAACTATAGTAACAGATACAAAATGACTCCACAAAGGCGCCATTATGCATTGAACTATAGTAACATATATAACATGACTTCACAAAGGCCCTATTATGCATTGAACTATAGTAACAGATACAAAATGACTCCACAAAGGCGCCACTATGCATTGACTAAGTAACATATACAACATGACTCCACAAAGGCGCTATTATGCATTGAACTAAGTAACATATACAAAAGGACTCCACAAAGGCGCTGTTATGCATTGAACTATAGTAACAGATACAACATGACTCCACAAAGGCGCTATTATGCATTGAACTATAGTAACATATACAACATGACTCCACAAAGGCGTAGTTATGCATTGAACTAAAGTAACATATACAACATGACTCCACACAGGCGCTTTTATGGATTGAACTAAAGTAACAGATACAACATGACTCCACAAAGGCGTAGTTATGCATTGAACTATAGTAACAGATACAACATGACTCAACAAAGGCGCTTTCATGCATTGAACTATAGTAACAGATACAAAATGACTCCACAAAGGCGCCATTATGCATTGAACTATAGTAACAGATACAACATGACTCCACAAAGGCGCTATTATGCATTGAACTATAGTAACAGATACAATATGAATCCACAAAGTCGCTATTATGCATTGAACTATAGTAACATATACAACATGACTCCACAAAGGCGCTATTATGCATTGAACTATAGTAACATATACAACATGACTCCACAAAGTCGTTGTCATGCATTGAACTGAAGAAACAGGTACAATATGACTTCACAAAGGCGCTATCATGCATTGAACTATAGTAACAGATACAAAATGACTCCACAAAGGCGCCACTATGCATTGAACTAAGCAACATATACAACATGACTCCACAAAGGCGCTATTATGCATTGAACTAAGTAACATATACAAAATGACTCCACAAAGGCACTATTATGCATTGAACTAAGTAACATGTACAACATGACTCCACAAAGGCGCTATATTATGCATTGAATTTTAACATATACAACATGACTCCACAAAGGCGCTATTATGCATTGAACTAAGTAACATATGCAACATGACTCCACAAAGGCGCCATTACGCACTGGATAACCTATGATACCACAGAACTTTACACAGGCATCAAAGCGTATTGTACCATGGTAACTATAGATTACATATGATACTAGTCCAAATAATTATGACGTCTTGAAAAAATAAAATAGCCTTTCAAGTCGTAATAATTATTTGGACTACTATGATACCACAGAACTTTAAACAGGCGTTAGTATGTATTGCATCATAGTTAAGGTAGATTACCCAAAATATCATATAAATTTACACAGGCGTCAGTATATATGCTTTTTACAATAGTAACAATAGATTAACTATAATATCGCATAACTTCACACATGCGTCAGTATGTATTGTACCATAGTAACAGTAGATTACCTATAATATCACAAAACTTCACACATGCGTCAGTATGCATTGTACCATAGTAACAATAGATTACCTATAATATCAAATAACTTCATACAGGCGTCAGTATATGTATTGTACCATAGTAACAATAGATTACCTATAATATCATATAACTTCACACATGCGTCAGTATGTATTGTACCATAGTAACAATAGATTACCTATAATATCACATAACTTCATACAGGCGTCAGTATATGTATTGTACCATAGTAACAATAGATTACCTATAATATCATATAACTTCACACATGCGTCAGTATGTATTGTACCATAGTAACAATAGATTACCTATAATATCACATAACTTCATACAGGCGTCAGTATGTATTGTACCATAGTAACATGCTGTCGTTGTTCCATTTCGTAAAACACGTCTCTGTAAGTACATTAATTTCTGTCTTTGACATAATAAAGTAATAGGATAACAGAAATTATAAAAATTATTTGACAGTACATCAGCCAATACCAACCACTAACGACCCTCTAACATAGACAAAAAACAAAGGCAAACATCATCGAACAACACATGATCCAGAAAGTCTTGGTACCGGTACAAAATGTCTACCAGGTTATACCAGTTTTATATGCACAAACTTCCTCATTGTTCTTTTAGGAACATATGTAGTAAAAGTAAAAAACATAATAAAATACATGTACAATCCAGCTACTAACAGGATGACCACTATTTTGAAAAGGGAAATAAAATACGGCAAACATTGATTTGAAAAACAGGGTCAAAGTGAGTTCGGTATGACAGGAAGCCTGCTGAGATAGCCACAGCTGTTGAATACTATGGATTCCGGACACAAAACAAGACTCCTCTACACACTTACCAATGTGTCGGTTGGAAGAAGTTTTACCGAAAATAAATCAAAATTTTATAAAACACTATTTCATTAAACCAATAATTGACAGATATTTATGCATAACTAGAGGCTCTCAAGAGCCTGTGTTGCTCACCTGTATTTACTGATGCTTTGGAAATCATGTAAAATAAGGTTAAAATCATAATTAATAGTATTAGATATTAGATATTATAATGATATCTAAGATAATAACAAATAAAATGCTCCGCAGGGCGCAGCTTGATACGACCGCAGAGGTCGAACCCTGAACAGTTGGGGCAAGTATGGACACAACATTCAAGCTTGATACAGCTCTGAATTTGGATTGTGATTAAATATTTGACACAGCATAGCTTTCTGACACAGAATGAATGTGGTCTAAGAACTTAAAAATTTTAAATTGGACATTCACCTATTATGGTCCAATATCCAAAATCTAAATACATGGTTAGATTCAGCATATCAAAGAACCCCAAGAATTCAATTTTTGATGAAATCAAACAAATTTTAATTTTGGACCCTTTTGACCTCAATGTGGACAAAGTTGATAATGGGGCCCAAAAATCAAAAATCTAAATACATGGTTAGATTCAGCATATCAAAGAACCCCATATATTCAATTTTTGTTGAAATCAAACAAAGTTTAATTTTGGACCCCGATTTGGACCAATTTGAAAACTGGGCCCATAATCAAAAATCTAAATACATGTTTAGATTCAGCATATCAAAGAACCCCAAGAATTCAATTTTTGTTAAAATCAAACTAAGTTTAATTTTGGACCCTTTGGACCTTAATGTAGACCAATTTGAAAACGGAACCAAAAATTAAGAATCTAAATACACGGTTAGATTTGGCATATCAAAGAACCCCAATAATTCAATTTTTGATGAAATCAAACAAAGTTTAATTTTGGACCCTTTGGACCTCAATGTGGACCAATTTAAAAACGGGGCCCAAAATCCAAAAACTTAATACACGGTTAGAATCAGCATATTAAAGAACCCCAAGAATTCAAGAATAAAACCCCATTGAAATTGGTCAAGAAATAAGCAATTTATACAAAGTATCTTCTTTTGCACAATACTGTGCAATTGAATATTTCTTGCTATTGCGCAATACTGTACAATTGACAATTTCTTGCTATTGCGCAATATTGTGCTATTGGATATTTCTTGCTATTGCACAATACTGTGCAATTGAAGATTTCTAGCTATTGCGCAATACTGTGCAATTGAAGATTTCTTGCTATTGTGCAATACTGTGCAATTGAAAATTTCTTGCTATTGCACAATACTTATTATATAATAAGTTACACATCCTGTTTGGTGTGTATCTCCTACCATATCATTATTATTTGCTTTTAAATATAAAACAGAAATAACCAACTTAAAATGGAAAATTTTAAAAGAAAAAAAAATGAAAAAAAAAAATCCCCCCCCCAAATTTTTTGAACCCCCTTATGATTCATCACCCCCAAACTCAATCCCAGCCTTCCCTTTGTGGTATGGTACCTTGCGGTACAATTTCAGAGAGATCCATACACTTGAACACAAGTTATTGTCTGGAAACTAGAAAAATGCTTATTTTTGGCCCCTTTTTGGCCCCTTATTCTTAAACGTTTTGGGCAATTACCCCCAAACTCAATTCCAGCTTTCCCTTTGTGATATGGAACCTTGTAGTACAATTTCAGAAAGATCCATACACTTACACACAAGTTATTGTCATGAAACTAGAAAAATGCTTGTTTTTTGCCCCTTTTTTGGCCCCTAATTCCTAATATTTTGAGGCAATTACCCCCAAAATCAATCCCAGCATTCCCTGTGTGATATGGAACCTTGTGGTACAATGTCAGAGAGATCCATACACTAACACACAAGTTATGTCTGGAAGTTACAAAAATGCTTATTTTTGGCCCCTTTTTGGCCCCTAATTCCTTAACTGTTGGTACCATAACCCCCAAAATCAATCTAAACCTTCCTTTTGTGGTATTGAACCTTATGGTAAAATTTCATAGAGATCCATTCACTTAAACTAAAGTTAGAGTGCGAAAACCAATGTGTCTTCGGACGATGCCGGACGACGCCAGACGACGACGACGACGACGACGACGACGACGACGACGACGACGACGACGCCAACGTCATACCAATATACGACCAAAAAAATTTTAATTTTTGCGGTCGTATAAAAACTGCAAAATTTTTGTAAAATTACTAACTCAGGGGCAGCAACCCAACAACGGATTGTAGGATTCGTCTGAAAATTTCAGGGCAGATAAATCTAAATCTGATGAACATTTTTGCCACCTGTCAGATTTGCTCTAAATGCTTTAGTTTCAGAGATATAAACCAAAAACTGCATTTCACCCCTATGTTCTATTTTTAACCAAGTCGGCCATGATGGTTGGAAGGCGGGGTCATCAGACAATTTTTTTAAACTAGATACCCTAATAATGATTATGGCCAAGTATGGTTAAATTTGTCTCAGTAGTTTCAGAGAAGAAGATTTTTGTAAAAGATTACAAAAATTTACAAAAAATTGTTAAAAATTGACTATTAAGGGCAATAACTCCTACAGGGGTCGACTGACAATTTTGGTCATGACAACTTATTTGTAGATCTTACTTTGCTGTTTACAGTTTATCTCTATCTATAATAATATTCAAGATAATAACCAAAAACTGCAAAATTTCCTTAAAATTACCAATTCAGGGGCAGCAACCCAACAACAGGTTGTCAGATTTGTCTGAAAATTTCAGGGCAGATAGATCTTGACCTGATAATCAGTTTTACCCTTTGCTGCTTTGGTTTCAGAGATATAAGCCAAAATCTACATTTTACCCCTATGTTCTATTTTTAGCCATGGCGGCCATCTTGGTTGGTTGGCGGGGTCATCGGACACATTTTTTAAACTAGATACCCTAATGATGATTGTGGCCAAGTTTGGTTAAATTTGGCCCAGTGGTTTCAGAGGAGAAGATTTTTGTAAAAAGCTTACGACGACGGACGACGACGACGACGACGACGACGGACGACGGACGACGGACGACGACGACGGACGACGGACGACGACGACGGACAACGGACGACGGACGCCAAGTGATGAGAAAAGCTCACTTGGCCCTTCGGGCCAGGTGAGCTAAAAATGGTTGATGGAAACTCTTTTTCGTGTAGAAGAATAATTGAAAAGAAAACAAATGGTGTGTTAATTACAAAATTAGCACAAATCCTGACACACATTTGACATAAGGTGACATGTCTTCCTGTGGACTGTTCGCTTGTAATGTGTCCGTGTATAAGGTGACATATTTTCCTGTGGATTGTTCCCTTGTAATGCCTCCGCGTATAAAGTGACATGTCTTCCTGCGGACTGTTATCTTGTAATATGTCTGCATATAAGATGACATGTCCTCCTGTAGACTGTTATCTTGTAATGTGTCCGCGTATATGGTGAAATGTCGTCCTGCAGACGGTTACCTTTTGGTGTGTCCGCGTATTAGGTGACATGTCCCTCTGCAGACTGTTAACTTTCGATGTGTCCGTGTATATGGTGACATGTCCTCCTGTAGACAGCTACCTTTTGGTGTGTCCATGTATAAGGTGACAATAACAATCAGCATGTCATCATAATATAATGCTTTGTTGATATTCATATCGCTCAAACATGCTCTCGTTTTGAATTTGCATATAATTTGCAACTGGACATTAAACAGCCGCCCATATGTCTAGTCATCATCATCTCATTTCAAGACTAAACTTCTCTAAAAAATAATTAACACTAAGACAGCATTCAAACCACATGTTATAGAAATGCTATAAAACCAACGAATATGATATTTTTACTTAAATGATTATTTCTATTATACTTGCCACTGCTTTTTCGTATACATGTTCAGCGAATTCAAGGTCTTTAAACTTTGCCTCAGTGGGAAATGTGTACTTCTCCAACCATTCGAGAAGTCCAAGATCCAATCCTTTACCACTATTGGGATACTGAGGAGCATGGATATGTGTATCTATAAACCCTGGTATGACAAACTGTCTACAATAAACAATTACCTGTATATAGTGAGAACTGTAAGTATACAGAGGAGCATGAATATGTGTATCTACATGTATAAACCCTGGTATGACAAACTGTCTTCAATAAACAATTACCTGTATATAGTGAGAACTGTTAGTATACTGAGGAGCATGAATATGTGTATCTATAAACCCTGGTATGACGAACTGTTTACAATAAACAATTACCTATACATACCGAGGACTGTTAGTATACTGAGGAGCATGAATATGTGTATCTATAAACCCTGGTATGACAAACTGTCTACAATAAACAATTACCTGTATATACCGAGGACTGTTAGTATATAGAGGAGCATGAATATGTGTATCTATAAACCCTGGTATGACAAACTGTCTACAATAAACAATTACCTGTATATACCGAGGACTGTTAGTATACAGAGGAGCATGAATATGTGTATCTATAAACCCTGGTATGACAAACTGTCTACAATAAACAATTACCTGTATATACCGTATACTGAGGAGTAGGAATATGTGCATCTATAAACCCTGGTATTTACCGAGGACTAATAGGATGAGGGCTGAATGACATAGATGTATGTGTCTTGGTGTTCATTTGATGGAATGACTTGCTGTTTATCTGATGAAACTTTGCAAGATAAATAAGAAAATATCAAGGCCACAATCAAAACCAAATTGATGATAGATACCAGGTATAACAAAATCATGATCAACAGAAAATCGATGAAAAACGTCTACAAAACACTACACTAAACCACACTAAACACAAACCGGTGACGTAATTTTGTCACATGAATATATATATATATATACGTTATATAATGTCTGAATAATAGCCAACGATATATCTTACGAGGCGATGGATCACATAATTAAAAATATGATACAGTACACTACAAAATATAATATATAATAAGCAAGTCTAAAAGGGTACAACATCAACAAAGAACTTTTGGGTCTCCGAAAAGCTAAGACAGGAGGTTTGGGAAAGATCTTGGATAGTTTTGGGTGTTTGGTTATAATCTGCCAATTGGCACGGATGAAATAGAAAAGGTTAGTAAAGGCGGGATTGTATGTTAAAGCTTTAACTAAAGGTTAAATTTCATTTTCTTTCTCCCTTATAGTACTAAGAGACTGGTAGATAACAAACGTGTTAAGCGATAATGTAAGCAATACGCACACAGGATATTGCGTTAGAACTAGTATTCTACAGAATAGTAACATGAAAAACCCTGGAATGACGAATTTTCTGGAAATAATGGCGATGTTCGGAATGAAATAGAAGATAACGCAGACTTAAAACTAAACTCATAATGTTCTATAAAATTGTACACCATATCGTTGCAGTACCCTCAGTATTACTTTTACCAACAGACAATAGAACCCGGCAAACCTATCCATATATATACTTACAGACATTTACTTACATCTAAAGACTGCTACAAATATTCATTTTCCCTATTTCAATTACACAATGGAATTTACTACATTCAAATGTAGTACTTTCCCCCTACTCTTTAGATAAAATGCTTCGCTGAGCGCAGCTGGATACGACCGCAGAGGTCCAACCCTGAACAGTTGGGGCAAAAATGGACACAATATTCGCGCTTGATACAGGTCTGAATTTGGATTGTAATCAAATATTTGACACATACTAGGTTTCTGACACAGAATAACTGTAGTCAAAGAACTTAAAATTGGTTATATGATTTAAATTTATATTCATTTTTTTGCTTTTGTGCAATACACTATGCTGTTGAATATTAACCGCCACCCCAAAAAAAAAAAATATTTTGAAGAAATTTTCTTTTTAATTTCTGAAATCTGAAATGAGAAAAATTGTAGCCACCCCACAAATTCTTATTTCCCCCCCCCCCAAATTTTTTTCAACTCCCCTTTCCCTTACTCCAAAAATTATCTCAATTCAAATTTCTAATGGAGTTTGCAACCATAACTACTCATTTAAATACATCATAAAATATTAAAATATAAAATGACATACAGTCATGGTTAAAATTAATATCAATTAATAGTAACTTCTAAAAATAAATTTACAGCTAATCATCTAAAGACAATCATTTCTTAATACATAATTTACAAGCAGTGTAAGGGAGGTAATCAAACATATATACAACAGTATCCTTTAAATGGATTGGATTACCTCCCTTACACTGCTTTTAAATTGTCTAAATTGTCCTTAAACCATAAAAACCCTTGTTTTTCCCCCTTTTTTGCCCCTAATTGCTAAATGGTTTGAGCCATAAACCCCCATAACCATTCCTTTGATGTATGGAAACTTGTGGTATAATTTCAGAGAGATTCATACACTTAAACACAAGTTATTGTCTGGAAACTGCAAAAATGCTTATTTAGGCCCCTTTTTTGGCCCCTTATTCCTAAACCTTTGGGACAATAACCCCCAAAATCAATCCCAACCTTCCTTTTGTGGTTATAAACCTTGTGTTAAAATTATATTGATTTCTATTTACTTATACTAAAGTTATTATCCGGAAACCATCTGTCTTCGGACGACGCTGACGACGACGACGACGACAACGTGATACCAATATACGACCAAAAAAAATTTAATTTTTGCGGTCGTATAAAAACAGTTGACACCTATTGTTTTCTACAGTTTAGAACAGCAAACCTTAGTAGTCATGTAAATAGTTTTAACCACATGTTCATGTTAGTACTGTAAATTCAGAAATTATTGCGATGTTTTTATTATTGCGAAAAATGCGACAGGGTTATAATTGCAATAATTTAAACTCGCATTTTGAAACTTTTTTATATGAATTAAACAGGATTTTTCTCAATATCGCAAAAAATAAAATCGCATTTTAGTCTAAAATGACAAAATCGCAATAATATATATATATAAATGCACGCAATACTTTCTGAATTTACAGTATTTATTTTTGGCACTATTTTTTTTTTGTAAATATTTATTGATAATTATCCTACGCATACGCAGCAGTTAATAATCATCAAAAATCTGATGGATAACTTGATACCATAAGAAGAAGAAAAACTTTAGAATACTATTCGTCATGATAGAGAGCATGGTTAGGGTACTGATACAGGTACACAAACAACTCCTGTGTACCAAACTGAATATGAAATAAATAACTTAACGTGTATCGGTAAGATTAAAGAAGTTGCATGAAGACTATTTATTAATCATGATATGGATGAAAAAACTCATAATTTTTAGTTCAATCGTAAAAATGTCAAGTTCTACTGAATATTTCTTAATCCGATATTAGTATATGCACACAAATATTTCATTTTCCTCACCCTCTTTTGAGTTCTGTAAGGCTAACTTTACTTCTACCGCCAAATGGTTGCAAGTGTTTGTCTAACTGATCTGCTTGATCAAAGAATACAATCTGTGAATAAAAATGAACAAGCATTATAAAAGTACTAGTAGGTGAAATAACAGGCATTATATATGTATTAATAGGTATAACAGGCACTATACAAGTACTAGTAGGTGAAATAACAGGCATTATACAAGTACAAGTAGGTGAAATAACAGGTATTATACATGTAATAATAGGTATAAAAACAGGCATTATACAAGTACTAGTAGGTGAAATAACATGCATTATACAAGTACAAGTAGATGAAATATCAGGCATTATACAATTACTAGTTGGTGAAATTACAGGCATGATACAAGTACAAGTCGGTGAAATAACAGGGATGATACAAGTACTTGTAGGTGAAATAACCGGCTTTATACAAGTACTAGTATGTGAAATAACAGGCATGATACAAGTACTAGTATGTGAAATAACAGGCATGATACAAGTATTAGTATGTGAAATAAGAGGCATGATACAAGTATTAGTATGTGAAATAACAGGCATGATACTAGTACTAGTATGTGAAATAACAGGCTTTATACTAGTACTAGTATGTGAAATAACAGGCATGATACAAGTACTAGTAGGTGAAATAACCGGCTTTATACAAGTACTAGTATGTGAAAAAACAGGCATTATACAAGTGCTAGTAGGTGAAATAACAGGCAATATACAAGTAGTAGTAGGTGAAATAACAGGCATTATACTAGTACTAGTCGGGGAAATCACAGGCATGATACAAGTACTAATAGGTGAAATATCAGGCATTTTACTAGTACTTGTCGGTTAAATAATAGGCAGGATACAAGTACTAGTAGGTGAAATAACAGGCATGATACAAGAACTAGGAGGTGAAATATTAGGCATTATACTAATACTAGTATGTGAAATAACAGATAACATCACTAGTCTACTTTGTTGAACAAATTTCCCTTCACAATGATTAACACATTATATAGATAACACGATCATATTTTAAATTTGACCCTTTGAACTTCAATATGGACCAATTTGATAACGAGGCCAAAAATCAAAAATCTAAATAGATATAGGAATATGTGGTATGAGTGCCAATGATTGATTGATTGATTGATTGTTGGTTGCTTAACGTCCAGTGGCAAATATTTCATGCATATTCAGGACGAGAACAAATTAACAATAAATACAATAGGTAGGTTCTGTAAGAGGGGCGTCCGGGATTAAGGTCGGAAAAATTTAGACTGCCACGGGAAATGAGGGTATATTGGATAGGGACAGAAATTTAGCCTTGCAACAGGTCACCTACGGACCCCTCAAAGAGTTGTTGCAAGGGTTCTTAACGTGCAAAGAGCGTGGCACTCTCTTTACACGAGGCATCGGATTTAACGTCCCCATTCTGACCGGACGTGGCTGCAAGTTTGTACATCCCGCATAGCCAAACAGACGCCCCACTTTAGCGAGGGTTTTACCGCCGGTCGGAGGAAGACCAATGGTGACCATATTTCTATTCCCCAGTCACACTTGGGGGCGAGTGCCAATGAGACAACTCTCCATCCAAGTAACAATTTATAAATACATATATAAATAAGGAGATGTGGTATAATTGTCAATGAGACAAATATCCACCAAATTTCAATTGAAGTGGATGTAAGCAATAACAGGCAACCGTACGGCCTTCAACAATGAGAAAACCCCATACTGTTTAGTCGGCTATAAAAGGCCCCGACATGAAAAATATGAAATGATTCAATTGAGAAAACTAACGGCCTAATTTATAACAAAACAATTTACGAAAAACAAATATGACCCATTTTTTTTAACTCCATGTTAAATCCGCCGCCCTTAATTTTCCTCCTGAAACAAATATATTTTTTGCTTAAAAAAAAAGGATAACGCATATTTTTAAATCCGTTGCTCTGTTACACAGATATCCTGTGGTGCTCTAAATAGTGGAGGAATTACCCTGCAAAGAAAGAAACTACAACCGGAAACTACATGTGTTTGATGTGTTTGAGCATGTTCAGCTTTTGATTTTGCCATTTGATAAAGGACTTTCCGTATTAAATTTCATTGGAGTTCGGTATTTTTGCTATTTTACTTTTTGGAATCGGTATCGGATTCAACCCGGAACTTGTTAATTATTGGTATACTAATATTAAGTATGTAGAAAATAAAAGGGCCTGGAATGGTGTAATTTATAATCAACACCAATCAACATCATTGTCCTATATTAGTTATATATATAAAGTTGAATTCCTTGATTCGTCGTTTTTACGTCATGCCGGATAACGAATTTATTTTTATTTTAGTGTATAGATTCTATGTAATGTACATGTAAATAATGTGTACATGTAAGTTACCTGGTGTGAACAATTCTCATGTATACAGGTAATTAAAACCGATGTACATGCAGATGAGAACACATTTGATGTAAAACCAGTTTCCATTACACGAAACTAATGCAATGTAAACATATTTACATTACGCGACGTAACTTAAGGCTTGTTTTTCATGTACAATAAAGTGTTTTTTAAGAACAAAAGGTACATACGTTTTATTTCTGTGTATTGATAGGTTGTTTGTAAATTTACCATATTGTACCGAAAAATACCTCTAAAATTGGTTTTCAAATGTTATAAAAATTACTACCAGCAAAGATACAAACTTCATATTCAATACGTTTTTCGCTCTCTAATAAATACAGCTTATAAAATCCCCTCAAATATTGTTTTACTTTTGTCATTTTGTTTTTGGTAACAGGAACGTACGTTCACGATAGATCGATAAAATTCAGTCTATCCTGTTTGTCAGTTGTATTGTTTATCTAGCTATTACATTTGTACGTACCAATAAAGAGTATTGCATATTGTGAGTGCTAAATTGCGAAAGATTAAAAATGTTGTAACCTTTGAATAAGTTCAAATAATCAAACATTTCATTTTGTGTAAAAAGAATATATATTAATACACTATTGCATTGTATATTTGAAGAAGTTTCAGACAAATAAAGTGTATCCTGTTACTACTATTAGTTCCTATTAGAGATTTACAATAAGTGTATGACTCCGACCAGTGGCGGATCCAGAAATTTTCATAAGAGGGGGCCCACTGACTGCCTAAGAGGGGGCCCGCTCCAATCATGCTTCATTAATTCCCTATATAATCAACCAATTTTTTCCCACAAAAGGGGGGCCCGGGCCCCCTGCCCCCCCCCCCCCCCCTTTCCCCCCTAAATCCGCCTCTGCCGACCCGAGTCCGAATACGAGTCAGAGTAAGACAGTTAAATGACGGGGGCGATCTCAAAATAATAAAATTATTGTAAACATTGCACTTTAATCATTATAATATCTGACTATTAATTGAAAAGTTGTTTTCAGCGATTGGCAAATCAATGACTTCCGCAAACTTTAGTTATAGCTTTAAGTGTGTAAGCCTCTGACGAGTTCCAATGACTTTATAACATTTCAATTCGCCAATAACATGTTCAACGGAGATCAGGTATTCTGAAATGAGTCTGTTGAGACTCCTACATTTTCTCTTTTTCGTGTTCCGGCTTTCTGGTTATCTGCTGTTTGGTGAATGTCGTGTATGGCTGGTGAAATAACTCAACCTCTTTCTCTTGATAATGGGCCTGAAAATGGAGATATAAATGCAGGCGATGGTACAGCGAAAGCTGAAGAAATTGCCACATGTAATGCTACACCAATAACTGCTGATAATATTTATGATGCTCTTGTTAATCTTAAAGCTCCAAGACCCCCCCCCCCCCCCCCCCTTTCATGCAATTGGTTTGCATTTATTACAAAACAGGTTCCAAAATTGTTTAAAAGCCTCGGAGGTTGATTTATATTATTGTGGCACCCGTAAAACAATCATAAAGAAAACTTGCCAGATTTTTATCAGATTGATATCAAAGGTGTATATCAGGAGAGTCTCGGACAATTAAAAAATAATTGCTTTTAAAAGAGATATGTCTCTTGGAAATACGAGTTCTATAGAAAATTGCAGTGTTACTGCTCTCATGTGTACAGTTTTTGCCAAGTGTTTATAAAATTTGATATTGCCCTTGAACAGATGAAATATGTGAAACGCGGGATCCCATTAAGTGCCTTGTAAATATTTATATTTTCGTTTGACGGAGATTTATTCTGGTGCGCACCAGTTTAAAAAAAATCGTGCGCAAGACTTTGAAACTCGTGCGCACTACTTTAAAACTCGTGCACACGAATTTAAAACTGGTGCACACGACTTTGAAACTCGTGAGCACGACTTTTAAACTGGTGCGCACGACATTTTAAAACTGGTGCGCACGACTTTTAAAAACGGGTGCGCATGATTTTCAAACTCGTGCGCATAACTTTCAAACAAAGTTTGACTTACTCTATACAAACTTGCGCACGAATTTTCAATCTGGTGCGCAACAGATTAAATTTCTGGCAAACGAAAATATTTATATTTACATAGCACTTAAGGATCTCCGTATTATTCTCCAAGACTATACACCGTGGACACAAATAGCCTCAAAACATAAAAAAATAATTAAAAAAAACTGAACAATAGTATTATTCGATTCCCTTTCAAACAATTCGTCAGTTATGAAAAGTTTTTTTTATATAATCGGTAAACATTATCATTTAACTGGAGAAAAAAATATTTGTTATGGAAGTTTTTTAATTCTGACCATATCTGCCAGCAAGCTTAAACGAAAAAGCGCACTTTCTACCCTTCAGTGAAAAAAAAAGTAAATTAATTTGATAAATGGTTTTGTCCTATCACCACACAAAGATTGAGCACGGTAAAATTAATTGGCGAACACATTATGTAATAGTTATACACCGAGGGATAGGTGAGTCTGGATAAGAAACCCCGTCGGCCGGAGGCCGGAGGGGTTTCTTATCCAGACACGCCGTATCCCGAGGTGTATAACTAACTTACACCCCATTCTAAACCCTATATTTGTTAACATTGATTATTAAATGAAAAAAAATGAAAAAAACGAAAGCATATTTATTGATAATATCAAACCATGATTTATAAGAATTT